AATTTTCTTTTCTTTTAAGGAATGCTTATCTTTTTTTTTTTCCAGGTGTATTTTTGTTTCTTTTAGACTCCACAGAAAATATTTTCTCACTGAAGAAAAAAACACAAGCTTCATATTTTATTACACTGACTTTAAAATTGCTGGAAGTGAAGGTACAAACTGAAGTTACTCTGGGCAAGAGATGACGTATTTTTGAATGGCATGTTTGAGCACTTCATGGTTGTTTTACTATTTTACAACCTGTACCATAGAAACCAACCATTGCCTCTTTAGTCTTTAGTGCAAGAAAGAACAAGAAGTACGAGAGAGAGAAAGAGAGAAAGAGAGCTACATTTACAGCTACATAAATATAGAAAAAGATTACATATATACATATATAATGTATATATTTATTTATATATATATACTTTCTTTCCCTTGCAACTTTTTGTGGCAGTCATTACATCTTCATATCTTCATCCTCAGTTTACGACCTGAACCTCTGCTCACTGAAACACTGGACATGCCCTCTCCCTCTCTCTTTTGCTATTTCATGCTAGAACTCTTACCATTCAGATCAACATAGATGTCCAGAAAAGAAACTGCTGTTCTCACTACTCTGTAATAGCAGGCATTTTTATATAAAACTCGTATGAGATTGAAGAAGAAAAGTTTTCTGTTGTGTTACATTCTTCCTGAATTTGCTGCACACATTCATGCAATATGAAATATTGACTATGGAAAGAAACATTGTCTGAAAGTATGGAAGATTAATAAACCATAAGAATATGTCAATGTTGGAAATATCCATTAAGTACGAGTTGATTTTCAACTGAAAACTACTTTGTTGGGTAGTTGATAAATAGCTTTTGGAAAAGCTTTGCCACTTCCTTATCCAAATGGTTACGTGGAGAAGAAATTTTACAAAATATGACCAACCGATCAATTGATTTAAATATTTTCCCCCAATTATTGTTTTATTTGACTGAACTGAGATATTTCATCCGTGAAATAAATGTTTCTTTCACAGGAATCATATATGTCTAATAAAAATTAATATTTTTTGAACTACACAGCGTATTTTTAAAAGCATTAAAAATTAACATGGCTTAAGCAATAAGCATGAATGATCTTTCATTGCAATTGAATCTCACCTAGAAAGGTTTGGAAGAGTATAGACGGCACTTTTTTGAAAAGACATTCTGTGGTCCAGAGCATTTACAGGGTGGTGAAGAGGATGCAGTCAGCCATGGCTTGGAAGTGGATGTTTCTTGGCCTAATTATGGTCACTCTTGGGCTTTGTGCCTGCCACCCCTTCACTTTAATTCTTGCATCTCTTTCTTGGAGATGACATGCACAAGTTCAGTGGAACTTGTCATTCTCCATGAGAATTAAACAACAGCATACAGGTTATGAGAAGGCAGAAAGAGCCTTCATAGTAACAGTCTGTAAAAGATTAGTTTTCATTTCAGTTATATGGAGAATAATGACGAGAATCCCGTTGGAATGAGAGCCTCGGACTGTGGAGACACTCGCTTTCTTTAGCATTGTGTTTCTAAAGAGAATATTTTAGCCATAGTTTATAAGAGTAGAATTACTAACAATCTTGCAACAAAAGGGAAAGAGAGTGTCATCGAAGGCGATGCAGCTAGTGAGAGATGTTGCTGAGATTTCAACTCACGTCTCCAACCCCCAAGCTTTTATTCTGCCTATTTTGACACCAATCATATGCCAATTAACTATTAGGAAATACCTGAGAAATCAGAAATCTCTGCAGGAGAAAAGCCTTCAGATAGAGAAAACATAATCCAGGGGCTAATCTATAGGGCTTATTTATTTATTTATTTTGAGACAGAGTCTCACTCTGTCACAAAGGCTAGAGTGCAGTGGCGTGATCTTGGCTCACTGCAACCTCTACCTTCCAGGTTCAAGCGATTCTCCTGCCTCAGACTCCTGAAGTAGCTGGGATTACAGGAGCTTGCCCCCAAGCCCGGCTAATTTTTTGTATTTTTAGTAGAGATGGGGTTTCACCATGTTGGCCAGGCTGGATTTGAACTCTTGAACTCAAGTGATCCACCTGCCTCGACCTCCAAGTGCTAGGATTACAGGTGTGAGCCAGTGCACGCAATCAGGGATAGACATTTTTATTAGGACCCAGAAGGTGTCTTTTGATTCCCACATGCTGAGCAGGCAAACCTGTGTAGACCAAAGATGAGTAAAATGAGCTCTGAACCCCTCATAACACCCAAAACATGATGGGCTCATCAGCATGTAAACAAAGATTGATCCCAAAAACTGATGCTTGCATCAATTTTTTAAATCTTTTGATCGATACCTTAGGGTTCCTTTGTAATTCTTTAAAAAATGATTGCATCATACTTCTCTTCTTGGAATTTCTCTTCATTCTAGACAATGCAGTGGGCTAGGATATTTACATGAAAATCCACTATCAATGCTCTAGACTCACTAAATGACATGTCTCTCATCATAACATCCTGTGTATAATGCATGTATCTATCAGACTTCTTCCCTAATTCATATGACCAATTGTTTTTTCCCATTAAAAAATGGGACTTTGATTTTTAAAAGTTTTTTATTTGTTTTATTTAGGGGAAACTATTTTTAAGATCTATGTCAGCTGTGTATGTATTTGGCTTAATCTCACCCCATGTTTTTGTCATGACGCTTACTAAACTCTCCTTATCTTAACTAACTTACCTTTCTGCATTAAATCATTCTCCTTCAAGCAATTAATTCATAAAGATGACAAAATTGTGATTTGTCTTCTGATACAAACAGCCACTTAGAAGCTATAAATCAGGTAGAAAGTGGAGTGTGGTACAATCCACTTCCTTGACATTTACTTTGATAGAGCCAATGGAATTTTGATAATATTCTAGCTTATTAAACCTTTGACCCACTTATGTGAACGGATCTCTACGTGTGACAACTCCTCTATTCTGGCTTCTACAAAACAAAGTCCCTTTAAAACCTGACTGCGGCTGGGCACAGTGGCTCACGTCTGTAATCCCAGCACTTTGGGAGGCCGAGGCAGGTGAATCACCTGAGATCAGGAGTCCGAGACCAGCCTGGCCAACATGGTGAAACCCCACCTCTACTAACAATACCAAAAATTAGCTGGATGTAGTGGCAGGTGACTGTAATCCCAGCTACTCAGGAGGCTGAGATAGGAGAATCACTTGAGCCTGGGAGACGGGGATTGCAGTGAGCTGAAATCGTGCTATTGCACCCCTGCCTGGGCCACCAGAGCCAAACTACATCTCAAAAAAAAAAAAAAAAAAACAAACCTGACTGCTATAACTGGTTCCATCTGCAGGGTAGACATCATTAGAAGTTACCGACGACGTTATTGTGCTGCCTGGGTTAGCTTGAAATGGAAACAGTCAATAGCAATTCAGACCAAAACACAGAAGAAAAAAACTAAAGACAACAAATGAAAAACCAGTCCTACCCACCATCTGCCGTGAGTTCCTTCAGTTGTGACTTTTCAGGGGAGGACCTCCTCTGAAGTTCACTTCGGAACAATATAAAAAGGCCAATCCTTTGCCAGAAGGCCAGAAGTAAATATTTTCCCAGATACTATTGTGTAAAAGCACTCCCACCCTTGCTGCAGAACCAGTGCCATTATCTTTAGGTGTTGGAAGTTGTAGAGGAAGTGGCGGGGCTGATAAAAGATGGCTCCCTGCATACGTCCCACCTTACTGCACCAATCCACACCCCTCCCAGCTTCTAGTTCAGACCTGCTAGGGCAGAACTACCACAGGAGCCCAGATAGAAAACTTGCCAGAATTCTACTCCCTTTTTGATTGTGTGAGAGACAAACAGTACACTTCTAATACAAACTTTCTTTGCCAAGGTGGGAAAACTGAGTTAATAGGCTAACCTTTCTCTCTGCTCTTTTCAACCTGTGGACAGAACCCCAACTCCCTAATATGTCCCTTAACCCAGAATTAAGGGTCACCTTCATATGTACTTTCGACTTTTGGTTTGTTTGTTTGTTTGATTGTTTGGAGACAGAGTCTCACTTGCTCTGCTTCCCAGGCTGGAGTGCAGTGGCATGACCTCTGCTCACTGCAACCTCCACCTCCCAGTTCAAGCAATTCTCCTGCCTCAGCCACCAGAGTAGCTGGGATTACAGGCATGCGCCACCATGCCTGGTTAATTTTGTATTTTTAGTAGAGACGGGGCCTCACTATATCGGCCAGTTCGATACTGGTCTCTAACTCCTAACTTCAAGTGACCCTCTCCCCAACCTCAGCCTCCCAAAGTGCTGGGATTACAGGCATGAACCACCGCACCCGGTCCATGCATACTTTCTAGCACACTTTAAGACCTTCCTGCTTCTGAAGAAAAAAAAAAAAAAAAAAAAAATTAACGTACTATTAAGTAGATTACATCTCCTGTTAGCTAAGTGGCAGCAAACAGTAGGTGACTTCAGAAGATGGAGCCAGTGTGTAAAAA